AAATGAAATTAGATTATGAAGAGAAAAAGAATATAAAAAAAAAGGAGAAATGAAATTAGAAAAGAAACAAGAAATAAAAAATAAATAAATAAAAAAAGCAAAAAATAAAAAGGAGCCAAAATTGAGTGTAAATTAAATTATGATAAAAATAATAATAATATGATTTGGACCAAAATAAATAAAAAGAAAAAGAAAAAAAGAAAAAAATAAGAAGAAAACGAGAAAAAAGCAAAGGAGAAAAGAAGGAAAAAAGACAAGAAGCTGAGAAATAAGAAAAGGAGAAAAAAGAAGAAGTTACCCCCAAAAGCTACAATAGGCAGGAAAGGTAATTAGTTTGATAGGTAAAAAAATAAATGGGTAGGTAAAAGTAAATAGTTCTATTTTTGTGAGTAATTGTGTCGTTCACCTGTTAATTAACATGCCGTATTATGAAACACAAAAAACTCATTGACTTATCAAATTATCTAACCAAATTGTCTTACGTAAAAGTCTGTGATATTGGCCATAATTAATTAACAAGAATAAATTTGTAGTCTTGGTTCTTCGCTTAATAAAAGTCGCGTGTCGTTCCACGGTGCTGCTCCTCCGCAAATCCGCTGATTCCAACCGTTGGCTGTTGTTAAGCGAAGTCCTAAACGTCTCAAATACTCGGCTCCTCGATTTACTAAGGGTTGTTGTTGAGAAGTTGGTTCTTCTCTCCTCTATACACTGCTTCAATCATTTCTCGGGTCTCAGTTTGTTTGAGAGCTGAAGTAGAAGCTGTTGCTGTTTCTTTCTGATGATTTTGCTATCACTTTGTGGTTCGAGTTTCATCATCTCCTTATCAGACCTTTATTCGGTCCTTGTTCAAGCTGTTTCGATTTTTCAACTTAGGTGCAGCTTCTTCCCGGCGAGGATGGACTATTTCTCGGTGTGTTCAGATTGCCGGCAAGTTTCGTAAATTCTTGCGACTTCCGAACAGCTTTCCGGCAGGACACAGCAGGACTTGCCAGTGCTCTTGAGCAGATCCGACACGCTTCAGGAAAACTTGCTCCAGGTTCTTTCGTTCTATATCTGGTACTCGTGGTATCGATATTTTTATTATTATTTTTCTGCTCGCGGGAGTTGGTACCTCCCGTTTTCCAGTTTTCCTTTGTTGTGTGAGTTAAATTGTTGGCATCTTACCTCGTACTACTTTATTTATNACCGTGACTTTGGGTACTGCAGGCGTATCGAGGTTGAGGAGGTCGTGGGAGCTATGCGTAAGATAAGTAGGGGCAGAGCGACCGGGCCAGACGAGATTCCGGTGGAATTTTGAAAGTGTGTTGGGAGAGCAGGTTTGGAATGGTTGACTAGGTTGTTTAATATTATTTTTAAGAGAAAGAGGATGCCGGATGAGTGAAGGTGGAGTACGGTGGTTCCATTGTATAAGAACAAAGGTGATATCCAGAGTTGTAACAATTATAGGGGTATCAAATTACTGAGTCATACCATGAAAGTGTGGGAGAGGGTGGTTGAAGCGAGGGTGAGGATGACAGTGTCTGTATCCGTCAACCAGTTCGGGTTCATGCTGGGTCGTTCGACTACAGAAGCTATACACCTTATTAGAAGGTTGGTGGAACTATATAGAGAGAGGAAGAAGGATCTGCACATGGTGTTTATTGACCTAGAGAAAGCGTATGACAAGGTTCCTAGAGAAATTCTCTGGAGATGCCTGGAGGCAAAAGGTGTGTCGGTTCCCTACATTATGGAGATTAAGGATATGTATGATGGGGCTAAGACTCGGGTTAGGACAGTAGGAGGCGAATTTGAGCATTTTTCGGTTGTAATGGGGTTACACCAAGGTTCTGCGCTCAGTCCGTTCTTATTCGTCCTGGTGATGGACGCGTTAACACACCATATTCAAGGGGATGTGCCATGGTGCATGCTATTCGCCGATGACATAGTTCTGATTGATGAGTCGCGAGCTGATGTTGACGAGAGGCTGGAGGTTTGGATACATGCTCTTGAGTCTAAGGGTTTCAAGATGAGCAGGACGAAGACGGAATACCTGGAGTGTAAGTTCAGCGCTGAGCCAGGG